CCAGTTTTTGAGGAGAAATTCAAGCTGGCTGCAGAAATTTGCATAAATAGCAAGGAGTCTAATGTTAATTTTCCCAAGACCATGGGGAAAATGTCTCCAGGCCATGTCAGAGACCTTCAGGGCAGCGCCTTCCATCACAGGCCCAAGAGGAAAAAGTGGTTTTGTGGCCAGACCCAGGGTACCCGTGCTGCTGCCCTGTGTCCAAGCCACTCCAGCTGTGGCTGAAAGGGGCCAACATAGAGCACAGGCTGTGACTTAAGAGGGTGGAAGCCCCAAGCCTTGGCAGCTTCTACATGGTGGTGTCGAGCCAGCAGGTACACAGAAGTCAAGAATTGAGTTTTGGGAATCTTGGCCTAGATTTCAGAAGGTGAATGGAAATGCCTGGATGCCCAGGCAAAAGTCTGCTACAGGGCAGGGCCTTCATGGAGAGCCTCTGCTAGGACAGTGTGGGAGGGAAATGTGGAGTTGGAGCCCCCACATACAGTCCTCTACTAGGGCACTGCCTAGTGGAGCTGTGAGAAGAGGGCCACTCTCCTCCACACCTCAGAATGGTGGATCCACTGACAGCTTGCACCATGCACCTGTAAAAGCCACAGACACAGACCTGTAAAAGCCAGCCCATGAAAGCAGCCAGGAGAGAGGTTGTACCCAGCAAAGCTACTGGGGCAGAGCTTCCCAAGACCATGGGAACCCACCTTTTGCATCAGGGTGACCTAGATGTAAGATCTGGAGTTAAAGGAGATCATTTTGGAGCTTTAAAATTTGCCCCGCGGTATTTTGGACCTGCATGGGCCCTGTAACCCCCTTTTTTTGGCCAATTTCTTCTATTTGGAACAGCTGTATTTACCCGATACCTGTACCCACATTGTATCTAGGAAGTAACTGGATGTTTTTTATTTTGTAGGCTCCTCACAGGTGGGAGGGACTTGCCTTGTTTTAGATGAGACTTTGGACTGTGGACTTTTGGGATAATGCTGAAAAGAGTTAAGACTTGGGGGGACTATTGGGAAGGCATGATTGGTTTTGAAATGAGAGGTCATGAGACTTGGAGGAGCCATGGGCAGCATGATAAGGTTTGGCTGTGTCCCCACCCAAATCTCAACTTGAATTGTGTCTCCCAGAATTCTCACATGTTGTGGGAGGTGATTGAATCATGGGGGCTGGTCTTGCCTATGCTATTCTTGGAATAGTGAATAAATCTCATGAGATCTGTTGGGTTTATCAGGGGTTTCTGCTTTTGCTTCTTCCTCAGTTTTCTTTGCTACTGCCATGTAAGAAGTGCCTTTTGCCTCCTGCCATGATTCTGAGGCCTCCCCAGCCATGTGGAACTGTAAGTCCAATTAAATCTCTTTCTGTTCCCAGTTTTGGGTATGTCTTTATCAGCAGCATGAAAATGAATTAATACAGTAAAAGAGAACCCTGACTAATACATCTCATCTCTACTAAAACAATACAAAAAAAGAGTGAGGCATGGTGGTGCATATCTGTAGTCCCAGATACTCAGGAGGCTGAGGCAGGAGAATTGCATGAACCTGGGAGGCGGAGGCTGCAGTGAGCCAAGATCGCACCAGCCTGGGCAGCAGAGCAAGACTCCATCTCAAAAAAAAAAGGATGCCCACTTTCACCACTTTTATTCAATATAGCACTAGCCAAAGCAATTAGTCAAGAGAAAGAAAGAAAGGGCATGCAAATTGGAAAGGAAGAAGTTGAATTATCCTTGTTTGCAAACAATGTGATCTTATATTTAGAAAAACCTAAAGATTCCACCAAAAAACCTATTAGAAGTGACGAATTCAGCAAAGTTGAAGGATATAAAATCAACATACAAAAATCAGTAAAATTTCTATATGCTAGCAGCCAGCAATGTGAAAAAGAAACCAAAAAGTAATCTTACAGCATCTACAAGTAAAATAAAATATCTAGGAATAAATTTAGGAGGTGGAAGACTTCTACAAGGAAAACTACAAAACATTGACTAAAGAAATTGAAGAGGATAAAAAGAAAGGGAAAAACATCCCATGCTCACTTTCAGAAGAATTAATATTAAAATAACAGTACTACCCAAAACAATCTGCATATTTGATGCCATTCCTATAAAAATACCAATGACATTCTTCACAGAAATAGAAAAAAAAAATCGTAAAATTTACATGGAACCACAAAAGACTCCAAATAGCTAAAGCAATCCAGAGCAAAAAGAACAAAGCTAGAAGCATCACAATACCTGACTTCAAATTATACTACAGGCTGGACGCAGTGGCTCACACCTGTAGTCCCAGCAGTTTGGAACGCCGAGGTGGGTGAATTGCTTGAAGCCAGGAGTTTGAGACCAGTCTGGCCAACATGGCGAATCCCCGTCTCTACTAAAAATACAAAAATTAGCTGGGCATTGGTGGCAGGCACCTGTAATCCCAACTATTTGGGAGGCTGAGGCAGGAGAATCACTTGAACCTGGGAGGCAGAGGTTTGTTCCACTGTACTCCAGCCTGGGCAGCAGAGAGAGACCCTGTCTCAAAAAACAAACAAATCATACTACAGAGCTATAGTAGCCAAAAAGGCATGGTACTGGTATAAAAACAGACACATAGACAAATAGAACAGAATGGAGAACTCAGAAATAAGTCTGTGTACTAGAGCCAACTCATTCTGGACAAAGGCACCAAGAACACATATTGGGGGTAAACAGTCTCCTTAATAAGTCATGCTGGGAAAACTGTGTATCTGTATGCAGAAAAAGAAAACTAGATCCCCATCTTTCATCATATACAAATATCAACTTAAAATGAATTAAAGACTTAAATGTAAGACCTAAAACTGCGAACCTGCTGGAGGAAAACACTGAAGGAAATGCTACAGGACATTGGTTTGGGCAAAGATTTTTTGGCTTAGGACCTCAAAAGCATAGGAAGTCAAAGGAAAAATAGAAAAATGGAATTACGTCAAGCTAAGAAGCTTCTGGAGAGCAAAGGAAACAACAATGTATAGAGACAACCTTCAGAAAATATCTGCAAACTATCCATCTAACAATGGATTAATAAATAAAATATATGAGAAATGTAAACAACTCCATAGCAAAATAGCAAAGAATCTAATTTTTTTTAATGGGCAAAAGACCTGGGTAAACATTTCTCAAAAGAAGACATAAAAATGCCCAACAGATAGATTAAAAAATGCTCAACACCACTAATCATCAGGAAAATGCAAGTCAAAACCACAATGAGATACCAACTCACTTCAGTTAGAATGTCTATTATCAAAAAGAGAAAAAAAATAACAAATGGTGGCAAGGATGTAGAGAAGGAGGAACCCTGTTATAGTGTTGGTGGGAATGTAAAGTACAATAGCCACATGAAAACAGTATGGAAGTTTCTCAAAAAACTAAAAATAAAACTACCATATGATCCAACAATCTCACTGCTGGGTATACATCCAAAAGAAGTCAATATTGAAGAAGTATGTGCACTCCAATGTTGACTGTAGAACTATTCACAATAGCCAGTATTATGGAATCAACCTATGTCCATCAATGGATGAATGGATAAAGAAAACGTGGTATAAATTCACAATGAAATATTTGGCCACAAAAATAACGAAATGCTGTCATATGTAGCAACATGAATGGAACACCGCCATTAACATGATTTGATCATTACACATTGTATACATGTATCAAAATATCACACATACCCTCAAAATATGTACAACTATGATACATCAATTACAAATACATAATAAAGGAGGTTGCAAGCATGGTGGCTCATGCTTGTAATCTCAGCACTTTGGGAGACCAAGGCAGGAGAATTGCTTGAGCCCAGGAGTTTGAGACCAGCCTGGGCAACATAGTGAGACCCCATCTCTACAAAAATTAAAAAAAAATAATTCTCCAGGTGTGGTGGTGCACACCTGTAGTCCCAACTAGGGAGACTGAGGTGGGAGGATCATTTGAGCCTGGGAGGTCAAGGATGCAGTGAGATGTGATTACGCCACTGCACTCCAACCTGGGTGCCAGAGCAAAACTCTTTCTCTAAAAAAAAAATCACAAAAAAAGAAGACAAATTTACCACCAAAGTGAGAAAGACAATGGGACAAATTTGGATTGAGACCTATGGTTTCCAGTTCAGGCAACACTTGAAGACAGAAGGGGCCGATCATAACATGGAGTTGGGAGTTGTATGGTTTTTTTTTTCCTCTGGCTAACTTAAGCATTGGCTTAGAGGTTATCAGAGTGGGGGAAGACAGAGGGTACTTCTCTGAAAAACTCCCTTTGTTTTCCTCCTACAGAGAGTATTTACTTCAGGTTCACATTTGTTATCTCACTGGCTCTGACCATGGTGCTGAATCCTCTGAACTTGAAAACTGAACTCCTACAAAGGCAGTAGATTCAAACTCTTGGTTTTGAGTTGTGCTAGAAGTGATATGGGGAAGTACAGCACCCCTCCTCCCTTCTGTACTTCTACCAACCTTATCTGCTCCCTTGAGCTCCCTTTGAGCTGTAAAACGCAGGGGAAATTTCTCTAAAATGTATAGATTCGGATGCTCCCAGTTCCTGAATTCCATCTACATGAGTAGTTCTTTGAATTGTCAGAAAACAGTCTGGCCCCATAGTAAACTCAAGGCAGGGCAAACACAATATTTTTCCCATTTATGGGAATAACAGGTATGTCACAGTTCCTAAGACAACCACACAGGCTTCTGCTCAGCGTGGGTGTTCCTGACTTCACTGGAGTCAGCAGCAGTGTGCTGCTTCCTTGCTGACATTCAGCAAACGTGTGTTTATATAAAGCTCTATCATAAGCTAATCCCCAGAATCCCACATAATCTGCTTCCAAACGCAAAGCAGAATGTGCTATGTGTGTTACCAGAGATCTGATGTGTCAGACCGACGTGACAGGACAGTGGTCTGTTCTGATCTGGAACCTAACCAGAGACAGTCCTCAGAGTACTGAGCTCTGAGCTTGACCTTCCCCTCACCTTCCATTTCAGGCTAGGGGTGGGCATACCTGAGTTGGTGGAGTCTGTTCAGCCATAAACCTGTTTGTAGAGATGAATTTTACTGTGCTATGAGACTCTGGTCACGAATCATGGAACTTCTGCTTTCTGGTAGCTTGGATGGATTGTTTGTTCTTCCAAGGACTGCTAACCAGTGAGAAGACAGTTAAGACAGGCTGGGGCAGACAGTGCTTAATCTGCTCCACAGACACAAACTGCAGCTGCATCCCACCAGCATCTGCAAACACAGGGCAGAGAGATTAGTGTGTAGAATTGGCACAAACAAAGGGATGCCCAGGGATTGGTTTAGGAGGACGAGCCACAGGACGAGCCTTTCCTTTAGGGGACCTGAGAGAACACTGGCGAGCAACAGGAGCAGAGGGTCTTGCCTCTCATTCAGCATCAAGAGTTCTGCATCCCTCCTGGGATCCCTTTCTCAGACCTTAAGGACTTCAGAGAGAAGGTATGGTATGTTGAGCCAGATGTTAACTTTGTCTAGGAGAACAGCATGGGTTTTTAAGAAGGGAAAACCCTTGGGAAGGGTGGCACTTGGAATCAGTTGAGGTGTTTAAGCCAATATCCTGAGCTGAGAAAGGCCTGAGGAGCAGTGTTCTGGGCACAGTACAGGGAAACTCCCTCTCAGTGCCTAGAGAGTGCCTGCAGCAGGATAGGTGCTCAATAAATTTTTACTGAACTGAATTCTTGCTGAGCTACTAAAGGAGAGGCGAACAGCTGCTTCTAAGGGCTGATCCTATGCTTCAGAAAGCAGAGGAGTGAATCACATGTCTGGTCTTTTGGACTCACAGCAGATCTCACATTGTAGAGCCCTAAGTGGCTCCTGCTGCTGGGACAGAGGCATGAGCTCAGGAGCAGCTCTCTCAGGGACCCAGAATGCAGCCCATCTTCACTGGCTGTTGCACCTTCAGATAAAAAAGGCCAATGCATATGCCCTCAAGTCTTCTTTTTCTGTGTCACTTTCACTTCCCAGACATTTCAACAAGGTACTCTTGTTGACCTTCACATCTATATAGAGAAAATAGAGCTAGTGGTTTTTTTTTTTTTTTTTTTTCATGCCCATCAGGACCCTTCCTAAGGCCAATTTCAAAGTCATTCACAGGTAGAGTACCGAGGAGAATCTCTTTATCTGTTGTCTTTTTTCTTTTGGAACTCAGCTCATATTTGCATTTGTGCCAGCCTCTTTCCCGTCCAAGTTTCTAATGTTTTTGTTTTTTGACATAGAAAGTCAGTAAGTGAGCTGGATTAGAACAGGAGTCTGTGTACAATCCATACTTTATGCCTTTGTCCCTGTTCTCCTGCCTGCCCTTGACCTTCCCCTCTGGCCTGTTCAGTCACAGGAAGGAAGGAGAGGCAGCTGTCTGCAAGAGTAAAAATGCCTCCTACAAAAGCATACCCGATGGCTGTCCTTTTTTTCCAAGACCAGTTCTGACAGCTAAGAAGGCTGGCGCCCAGCTGGCATCCTCTGGTACCTTTGTCCTGTCACCTCCTGCCACACCAAGCCTTTGGCACAGTGTTCCTTACCAACTTCTGCCAGGCCTTCACCATCTTCTGCCCAACCCAGTGGGTGGCGCCCAACATGTTCAGGGTTGATACAGATTGGTTCAGGGCCATAATTTTGCGGACTTTTTTTTTTTTCATGGATGCAGAATTTATAGGTGATAGGAGCAGCACCCTTTTCCTCCTCCTTTTTGACTTCTGTCCTTCTCCTCTGACTTCGTCCTGTGACTTGGTGAACAAGGGTCTTGTCCATCTACAGACCCCTTTCATCTCTAGGAGGAAGGGCTGGATGCCGACCGCCCCTCGTCTCCGCTCTGGCTGTAGAAAGCGCTAATCCTGAGACAGCAAGTCTGCACAGTTTGGCCCAAAGCTTCCTGGCCGCACCCACATACCAGGACAGTGCCAGCTTGCTCCCTTCTAAGGCAGCATCTATTGTTTCCATACAGTGGGCAGGGCTGGCCATTCGGCGCAAGGCCACCTGAGTGGAAAAAGCCTTTTCAAAACAGGGTGGCTTCAAAACAGTTGGCCACACTTTGTTCCTTGGCCCCTAAAGAGAAGAGAGAGAGTAAATGAGGGGTGTGGAGCTTCGCTAGAAGTAGACTATGGGAATTTAAAATCAACGCCAAAAAATCCTTCCATCAACTTACTAACAAAACACAATTTCTGTGGGGCTCCAAGCTTCATTCTTGGAAAAAAATCAAAGCCCACTACAATGGGTGGCCATTATACCCAGACGGACTGGAGGAGAGAAAATGCTAGAGCTTCCAGCCCCCACTAACCAAGGAAAGCTGTTTTTCCTTCTGAGGCCTGTTTTAACAGCTATAGAATGGAGGTAAATACTAAAAATACAAAAAACTAGCTGGGCATGGTGGTGCACATCTGTAGTCTCACCTACCTGGGAGGCTGTGATATGAGGATCACCTGAGCCCGGGAAGTCGGGCTGCATGATCTATGATCGCACCACTGCACTCCAGCCTGGGCAACGGGAGTGAGGTGAGACCCTGTCAAAGGAAAAAAAAAAAATGTATATTAAAGGAAAAAGACCTGTTATGGCACAAATTCTGGAAATTTAAAGGACACAAACAATAAACAGAATCTCCTCAAAATTTTCAGAGAAAAAGGGCCAGAAATCAGCATTATATCAGATTTGTACCTCTTCACAGCACTGGGGGCTAGGAAACAAAAATCTGAGGGGATTTTTCCAGTCAGGAATTCCATAACCAGTGAAATAAGCAATAAAATACAGGCAAAATGAAAACCCTAAAAAAAGTTACCAGGAAACTACTGAAGGATGTGTACACACACACACACACACACACACACACACACACACACACACACACAATATGACTGGGTGCGGGGTCTGAAAATGCTGAGGGGAATGTTACAGGTCTATAAGGATTAGGAATTGTTTGTAAAAAGTTTTAAAAGGAAGTATCAAACTATTTCGTTACGTTATCAATAGTATCTATATAATTATCAGTACTAACTCTTGAGTTAACCAAAAACTGTGCTGTAGTTAAATTGTGAAGGCAGATGGAGTAATACATGTGTACAGGTGGTAGTGGAGTTAAAGCTAAATTTTCATTTCCCATAGTAGAAAAATTCAAAAAATAAAGTCAAAATGAAGACATAGATGTATGAGCATTTTAAAATGGAAGTAACAGACTCAATTATCAGAAGAAACAGAGAAATGACCTGAAAGCAGCTGCCTGCAGGAGAACAGAGTAGGATGGAGAACAGCTGTTTGCCTGCTCTGGACTCAGTGCCTCTCACTTGCCTCTCTGTGGCTATACATTGACAGAAGTAAGTTTAAATTTAAAGAACAAGACAACTCAAATGCCAGTCAAACCTAGGATAAACAAAATGTGGTCTGTCCAAATAATGGAATATTAGTTGGTCATAAAAAGGAGTGAAGTACTGATACACACTACAACATGGATGAACTTTGAAAACATCATGGTAAGTGAAAGAAGCCAGCCAAAAAAGGCTGCACACCTTTTATCACAGATCATCCCTATTGTATGTATGTATCATGTATCGTAACGGAATTGTATGATTCCATTTACATGAAATGTCCAGACTAGGTAAGTCTATAGAAAGCAGATTTTGCCAGGAGCTGGGAGGAGGAATGAATGAGAAATGCCTACTTAATGGGTACAGGTTTCTTCTTGGGGTGATAAAAATGTTGTGGAGTGAGAGAGTGGTGATAGTCACAGAACACTGTGAACGTACTAAGGCCACTGAATTGTATACTTTAAAATGGTAAAAATGGTAAATTTTATATGAATTTTTACCTCAATAATAAAGGAAAGAACATTGTGTAATGGATTTTTGTATGGATAGTACACAGATTCTATTGTATTTTCAGTTAAGTGTTGTTTACAAAGTCTCTGCAATATACTTTATACATTTTGCTTTAGTTAACATGAAAAAGTGAATACATGTTTGCCTTTGATGATTTGTTAGTTCCATAGTATCTGAGGGGCTGTCATCATTCTGAATAGCCAAGATTATATTTTAGGTATAACAGACAGAGATGAATTAAAACCTCAAAATAGAATATCTCATTTATAATACAGAAATTATTTATGCTGCAGTTCTGTAGTAAACTTAACAGCTGGCTTTCTTGTCACCTGACACTTTCTTTTAAAAATAGAAGCGAAAACTTGAATTCAGAGTTCTGGGTAGTAATGTCTTGTGAATGAACGTACACTATGTTTTGCTTCACTTTTTTCCAATTAGATTTCATTTCTCTCCCCTTTGGCATCCCCTCATTCTGCAACATATTTTATTGTCTATTTTTTTTCATTAGTCAATTACTGAAACAGGTGAGTTGGCCACAAAGAAGAGCTTAGTCACTCAGAGTCAACCAAGCAGCACACCCTGGCCACCGCGACTTGAACTCTTGTGAATCAGCCTCAGAGCTCAAATTTGCTCTTGTTGTTTTGTTTTTTTAATATTTGGGTTTTTTTGTTAGTTCACCAAGAAGAGTTTTAAAATCCTGTCTTGCTAAATGGCTTTTTTAGATGTATACAAAGCTCAGTTTTTTCTCATGTGTTATTTTCTCAGAATGATTTTTCTCATTTTTTTTCTTGCACTGTCACCCAGGCTGGAGTGCAGTGGCACAGTCTTGGCTCACTGCATCCTCCACCTCCCAGGTTCAAACGATTGTCCTGCCTCAGCCTCCCAAGTAGCTAGGATTACAGGTGCCTGCTACTGTGCCCAGCTTATTTTTGTATTTTTAGTAGAGATGGGGTTTCACCATTTTGGCCAGGCTGTTCTCAAACTCCTGACCTGTGATCCACCTGCCTCAGCCTTCCAAAGTGCTGGGATTACAGGCTTGAGCCACCATGCTGGGCCTCCTCATTTCTATATCATATTTAAAAAAATTCAGGCCAGGCATGGTGGCTCATACCTGTAATCCCAGCACTTTAGGAGGCCAAGGTGGCCGGATCACGAGATCAAGAGATCGAGACTATTTGGCCAACATGGTGAAACGCCATCTCTACTAAAAATACAAAAATTAGTGGTGGCACATGCCTGTAGTCCCAGTGTGGGAGGCTGAGGCAGGAGAATCGCTTGAACCAGCAAGGCGGAGGCTGCAGTGAGCTGGGATCACACCACTGCACTCCAGCCTGGGTGACAGAGTGAGACTCCATCTCAAATTCTATATTCTTTCTATGTTGCCTTGGCAACATAGAAAGACCCTGTCTCTATGTTTAATAATATATATATTTTCTCTCTCTGCATGTGTACACACACACACACACACACACACACACACACACACATACATATTTTTTTTAGTTAGCCACATGTGGTGGCACATGCTGTGAACCCAGCTACTTGGGAAGCTGAGGTAGTAGGATCCCTTGAGCCAGGAGTTCAAGGCTGCAGTGAGCTCTGATCTCCACTACACTCCAGCCTGGGTGACAGAGTGAGACCCTGCCTCAAAAAACCAAAAACCATGGTTTTACAAGATATGAACATTAGAGAAAAGTAGGATAGAAATATAAAGGAACTCTCTATACTATCAATTTTTCGGTAAATTAAAAATTATCCCCGCAAAAAGTTTATCTAAAAAGTTAGATACTAAAGGCAGAATGTTTGAGGCTAGATAAGGATACTATGAACTGTATTAGCTAGCAATTGCTGCATAACAAAATAACTCCGTAAAGTTAGTGGCATAAAACGACAAACATCTATTATGTCATAGTTTCTGTGGGTCAGAAACCTGGGCAAGGCCTGAGTCCTCTGGCTCAGGGTCACTCACTAACATGCTGCCATCAAGGTTTTGGCTGGTACTGCAGTCACCTGCAAGCTCATTGAGGAAGGACCCACGAGGGCCACTCATGTGACTCTCAGCAGGCCTCAGGTCCTGGCGAGGTATTGGCTGAAGACATCAGTTCTTTGTGGAATGTGGGCCTCTCCACTGGGCAGTTCCCAGCATGGTGGCTGGCTTTCCAGAGTGTGTTGCCGAGAGAGGGAGAAAGGGAGAGAGAGAGAGAGCACGTCGTGAGGGTGCAAGCCTGAGGAAGAAGACAACAGAATCACAGTGTATTTGTAACCTAGTCTGAGAAGCGACATCCTACCACTTTTGACATATTTCCTCCATTAGAAGCCAGGTTACTAGGTCCAGTCCACACTCCAGGGGAGGGAGTAGCGCAGGGCATGAATACCAGCAGTGGGGGACCCAGGAGACCACAGAAGAGGCTGCCTCGCAAGTGAACACACCCATTTATACCATCTCCCGCACTGAAATGAGCGGTGCTGATTAAGAGCACAGGCTCCGGAATCACGGAGATTGGGTTTGTGCTCCTGCTTGGAAATGTCAGTTAGATGATCTTGGATTATTTAATTCTTCTCTTTGTTTCTTCATCAGCAAAATGAGAATGATGATGATAAATTACTGACCTCAAAGGGCTGTTTGAAAGCTAATTCATACAAAATGCTTAGCAAGTGTCTAGCACAAAATAAGAGCCCAATGATGGGGATAAGCTGTTATCATCATTACTACCACCACCACCTGATCCGTAATTCAGACTCATGCTGAATAGCCGTGGCATTGCAGGCAAGTTACTTGACTTTTCCATGCATCTGTTTCCTCATGTATAAATTGGGGAAATACTACCTACCCTTCAGAGCTATTGGGAGGGATGGGGGGTGATCACGTGTTTGGCCCTCAGTCACTGTGACTTGTTACTTTTAATGGGAGTTCAGTCTGCTTAGCATAAACTTACTGCCCTTTTTGGCTAAGGCACATCTGTTTTTGTTTGCTCTTCTATGAAATGAGGACAGCAATCCTTAATTATTCTGCTTTTCATGGCTTTCTAACCTATTAATTCCTATTTATGCATATAGAAGGAAAAAAACCATGTGGGTAATCCATAATGGAAGATACATCAAAATCATATTTACGGTCTTAGATATGTTCTTTGAAGCAGGGTTATGTTCTTTGATTTTATTTTGGTCATCATTGGAAGTTTTTATTCTTCATGCACATAGCAAATGAAAATGGAGAGAAACTATGAAAAGTGAAGGCTACAGCCTAGAAGGAAGATTTGCCACAGACCCCTACACAAGGATAGTTCACATGGAACCTAAGAATGGAGTGTACACAGCACGTCTTGTTCTTGTCTACCGTTCCTCCCAGGGGCAAGGAGGAACGGTAGACCAGCCTTGCAGAGAAGCCTAGTAGGTAATCAGTCATCAGAGTGTAATGCAGGAAGTGCTGTCAAGCTCTGAAGGGGCACAGAGAAGAAAGCCCTTGCCAGGGCTCTAAGCCTTGATGTGGAAGGCAGAGGAGGGCTTTACTAGACAAGTTTACACCTGAGCCAGGAGCTGCAGGCTGGAGGTCCCTAGCTGATGATGGTCCCTGGGGACTGACGTCCCTAGAT